CCTCCCACCCATTTTTTCACGATTCGCGATTCGCAGTTCGTCGCACCCCTTTGCGGTGGCGCCCCCAACCGACACCCACCATTTGAACCTGGCGGTTGCCTGCCCGGTCACAGACAGACACATCCAGCTTCGAAATGTTCAACAACCAGCCCCAACGTCAGTCCTCGTCACTCTTGTTCCGACTCTAGGGTTGATCCGTACATATTTCGGGTTCCCAAGAGTGTACCACAGCCTTTTGGTATGAGCAAAAACCCGGGAAGGCTTGTAGCAGTTCAGATGGGAAAGGGTCGAACTTGCGTTGAGCCAGCGGGTACTTCGAGTGTACACTTTTCTACACAGGGTTATTTCTACATAGATATATTTTGGGAATAAGCGGGTTACACAATCACAGGATGTCGTTGACTGCTGTCAGCGGCCAGCGACTGATGTTAGAAGACGACACATAAGGGCGTGTGTGATTTTGCCAAACCTGACTGAAAGTTCAAACTTTTATAACGGTTCGTCACGGTAGGATACGTTTAGAGGAGTTTTGCCACGGTGCAAAGCGGTTTGAGTTCGAACTTTGTCAGGTTCGGCAAAATCACACACGCCCTAAACACCACCCCGAAACGAGATTCGCACCGTATAATGCGGCGGCATCCCTTCCCGAAAACACAGCCACAATTTAGCACTAAACGATAATAACACCTAAATAAGACGAACAGTAATTAGCATAAGTTTAAAAACACACAAAGTTACCGATATCTTTAGCCATGCTTTCTTGTCCTAAGCCAAGGCTTCTGAATGGCAAGCTCGCAAAACCTGGTGAAATTTAACCTTATTGAGAATAAATGACGCCTTCTCTCCACCGCATCAACCACTTGTCATGTCAACCACACAAAAAAGGCGTCATTTTACGCCTAAGGTGCTGAGCCCACCGATGACTCATCTTGTGCTTGAACCTTGCGAGGAGTGGAGGCAGGAGGCTGAAATAATGAGAGGGGAGACGTGAGGAACAAAAGAGGGAGGCTTCGTTGAAAGTGGACAGCAAAGAAGAGGACGAAAAGAACCCTGGAAGACTAGGAAGGGAGGCAGAAAACGGCTTAAGAGAGGAAGGAAGATATGAAGGATGGAAGAGAAGATGAGTAGAATGGAGGCTGGACGGGCGGAATGGAGAAGCCGAGAGATGGAAAAAGAAATGGATAACAGAGGATGAGGTACAGGATGGAAATGAGGTTGGAATAAGGGCGTATTCCTATCCTCCTATCAAGAAAACCTCTTATCAAGCTCACACTGAAAAATTCCCTAAACCCAAAATCTCTCGCTACTTTCACCAGGCAAAATGTGCATTCTTGATAGGAGGTTTCTTGATAGGAGGCCGTAGGAATACGCCCTAAAGCACGCGAGGGGGTTGGTGGAAAGGTAAGAAGAGAGGAAGAGAGCAAGGGATGTTTGGAATACAAAGGGTGTTTGGAAGGCTGGAAAGGCACATGGGTTGAAGGCGGTAGTGTTTGATACAGAGGAAGAGGAAAAGGAAGCTAGGGAGGAAGGGTGGAACTAGAAAAATGGGGAGTGAAAGGATTTGAACGAGGCGGAGATTTGCAGTGTGAGAGTAAGGTAGGACGCATGATGGAAGGGTGGGAGCAAGAGAGTATGGTGCCAGAGTGAAGGAAAGGGCATAGATGGGCAATCGGTGGAGTAGAGATTGGACGAATCTACAGATATCAAAACGAATCTGTCCCCGCAAGTTTCAGATAATAGGAAATTTAAGCACCTAAATCATCTCCAGTGGTCCTTGTGAGTTCCCAATCCCCCCAATGAGTCTTCACAAGCTTCAAGGAGTCTTCAGAAGATTCTCCGCAAGCATCCAAGCTTCTATGAGTCCCACTGAGTCCAAGCCCTAATTTAATTTTCCTTCTTACCACATCCCTTGTGCCTCATCTCCTGTGTTCTCCTCCGGTGCCCAGCTCCAGATCCACAAATCCCGCCCCCCAACTACCAAATCCCAACTTATGTGTCCCATCTCATGCGTCCCATCTCATGCGTCCCATCTCATGCGTCCCATCTCATGCGTCCCATATCATGCGTCCCATCTCATGCCTCCCATCTCATACGACCCATCTCATGCGTCCCATATCATGCGTCCCATCTGATGTGTCCCATATCATGCGTCCCATCTGATGTGTCCCATCTCATGCGTCCCATCTCATGTGTCCCGACCTTTTTCCTCGTGGATGAAATGAACAAATCTGGCTACCCTAAAGACATTGCAAGTTTTCCGCCACTAATCTTGTTTCCGATGCTCCCCAGTATCCATCAGCATCGACTCGAGCCAATCAATGGTGAAGACCCCAGCATCAGCCCCACCCGCAGCTAACTGCCGGATATTTCCTGCCGTGCCCGCTGACACTCCCACATCCATAGCCTCTCCACCAACATCGGAATTTATACCGCTTGCTCGCAAATGCTCCATGAAAGGGACGGCACTGCTGTAGTTTTCGAAACTGAAACAGGCTGTTCTGTTGATATGAGAGAACGGGGCGTTGATGTGCGCATCAGCAGGCGACGTGACGTGCGTGCCCTCTGGAAGCAAAAGATCTTCTGAGGATTGAGAAAGTGGAAGGCTCAAATCTGCCTTGGCAGGCTGCTGGGAAGAACACAGCTGGTCAGCAGTAGGCTGGGCGGCACACAGCTGGTCAGCACTAGGCTGGGCAGCACACAGCTCATCCAAGCAGTGTTCTTCGGGACTGGGCTGGCCTGCATATGCCTGGAGCTCACAATCCTGGTCCGAATAAGTCTGCTCCCCACTAGGCTGCTCCTTACTAGGCTGCTTCGCACAATGCTGTTCCTCAGTATGGCGCTCCGCGGTAAAATGCTCTGTACCACCAGCAGCAGCAGCAGCAGCACCACCACTGCACGCAGCCCCAAAGTTTGCAGCTGTGACTTCCTGCATGAGCACATCCCCACCACCGCGACCAGCACTGCCGGTTTCAGAGCCGTCGATTCTCCTAGCGGCATCTCGCCCCAAGGCTTCAATAGCAGCTTCAATAGCACCTGACTGTGAATAGCCGGAACCAGGGAATCTAGAAGGATTGTAGAAGAGGGTTTTTGAAGAGAAGGGGGGAGTGGGGACTGTTGCCTCAGCCTTGGCAGCAATACCGGCAGCAGCAGCTACAGCAGCGGATGTGAGAGACACAGAGTGTATGGGCACAAAAGGCTGTAGGCGAGGTGACTTTTGAGTAGATTGAGAAGGTGTCTTGGGAGGGAGCGACAGTATCCTGGATGGAAGGGCTTGGTGGAAGGGTGAGAGTGGCCCTTGCTGTTGCTGCTGCTGCTGCTGCTGCTGCTGCTGCTGCTGCTGCTGCTGCTGCTGCTGCTGCTGCTCTTGCTGCTGCATCAACTGCAACTGTTGCTGCAGCACCGACTGTGGACGCTGGTGCTGCTTACGCTTCTGCTGATGCTGCTGCTGCTGTTGCTGCTGTTGATGCATGGAATGCAACTGCTGATGCAGCACTGAGTGTGAATCCTGCTGCCGCTGCTGATTCTGCTGCTGCCACTGCTGTTTCTGCTGCTGCCACTGCTGTTGATGCTGATGCTGCTGCTGCTGCTGCTGCTGCTGCTGCTGCTGCTGCTGCTGCTGCTGCTGCTGCTGCTGCTGCTGCTGCTGCTGCTGCTGCTGCTGCTGCTGCTGCTGCTGCTGCTGCTGCTGCTGCTGCTGCTGCTGCTGCAGCCATGCCAACTGCCTCTCGTCCAGCCACAGCTTCTGCTGCCCCTCCCATTCTCTCTGCTGCAGCAGCTGATGCGGGGTGCTGTGTCCGAACCTTCGAGGCGATTTTTTGGATGACTCGTAATGCGCATGTCTGCTAGCATGCCTCCCTGGTTGCTCTTCAAAACGGTTTGGTATCCCTTCGCCGTAAATTATGTCTGCCACCCGCTGTTGGTATGCTGGTGCATGCAACATTCCCCTGTCCAGCTGAACTGTTCCCATTGCCCCCCGATCATGTGAGCGCGATCTCCTGACCCTGTGCAGGAGAAGATTCTGATCTGATTTGAGGGGATGGGGTGGGGTGGAAGCAAGCCCGAACACATAAGGAGCACCAGCAGCACCAGCAACAGCAGCAACACCAGCAGCATTGGTAACACCCACAGCACCGGCAAAACCAGCAGCACCGGCAAAACCGGCAGAACCAGCAAAACCGGCAGCACCAGCAAGACGAGCAGAACCTGCAAAACCAACAGCACCGGCACCACCAGCACCACCGGCAACACCAGCAGCACCAGCAACACTAGACACACCAGCAGCACCAGCAACACCAGTAACACCAGCAGCACCGGCAAAACCGGCAGCACCAGCAAATCCAGCAGAACCTGCAAAACAAACATCACCGGCACCACCAGCACCACTGGCATCACCAGCAGCACTGGCAACACTAGCAACACCAGCAGCACCAGCAACACTAGCAACATTAGCAGCACCAGCAACACTGGCAGGAGCGGCGACACCAGCAGCACCGGCAACACTGGCAGCACCATCAACACGAGCAACACCAGCAACAGTGGCAGCACCATCAACACGAGCAACACGAGCAACACTGGCAGCAGCGGCAAAACTGGCAGCAGCTGCCAGGCTGTCAATTCCGCTACCCACACTTGCACCAGCAGCAGATATACCTACCATAGGACCCACAGCATCCAAACCACGAGCAGCATCAGCACCACTTGCCCCGCTCACACCACTCACCCCACCCGTGCTGTTCCCACAGGGCTGAGAATCAGGGGTTGAAGCAGCGATGACTGGTAGTTTCAGAGGGAAAGAGACGCTGTGGCTTCGAATCATACGAGACGCAGGCTCGGAATGAGGCTTGGGTTGAGGCCCGGACCACGGAGGGCTAGAAAACTTGGACCTTGTGCCGTCTCTTTCCAAGACTGGGGTATGGCTTCTTATATCCTGCTGCTCAGTCGTTTCCTCCTTGAGGGAAGATTGAGCTGTGAGGTCTGCAGGAGTACACCGCGCAGCTGCCTTACCCCCTTTTCCAGCCTTCAAGCGTAAAGAAATCCATTGCGAGATGCTTGATACAAGGTGCTGCTGCTGCTGCTGCTGCTGCTGCTGCTGCTGCTGCTGCTGCTGCTGCTGCTGCTGCTGCTGCTGCTGCTGCTGCTGCTGCTGCTGCTGCTGCTGCTGCTGCTGCTGCTGCTGCTGCTCCTGCTCCTGTTGCTGCGGCTGTTGCTGCTGATGCTCCTGCTCCTGCTCCTTCTGCTGCTGCTGTTGCTGCTGCTGCTGCTCCTGCTGCTGCTCCTGCTGCTGCTGCTGCTGCTGCTCTTGTTGGTCCATTAGAAGCAACTTTTGCTGCAGCAGTGTCTGCAGATGTTGCTGCTGCTGCTGCTGCCGCTGCTGCTGCTCCTGTGCCATCTGCATCATCAAGTCCAACCACATCCTCTGCTGCCCCTCCACCTCTCTCTCCTGTAACAGCTGGTGCGGAATCAAGTGTTTATACCTTGTATGCGGCTTGCGCATGCTAGCATTCCTCCCCGGATGCTCTTCAAAATCATTCTGTAAACCTTGGGCGTTAACATTGGGTTCCACCTGGTTTTGGTACGCTGGTGCATGCAACATTGCCCTGTCCAGCGGTCCTTCTCCCATTGCCCCCCGTTCATATGACCGTGATCGCCTGACCCTGTGCGGGAAGCGAGTCGGATGTGCGTTTTGAGAGCAGGTTGGGGTGGATGGGAGGCCTACCACACCCGGAGCACCGGAAACACCAGAAGCAATGCCAGCAACAGCGGCAATACCAGCACCACCAGCAACGATGGCAGCAGCTGCCGGGCTGCCATGCCCACTACCCTCACTTGCAGCTGCAGCAGATATACCAATCATGGTATCCACAGCACCCGAACCACAAGCAAACTCACCACCACTTGAACCACTCACACCTTCAGGGGTTGAAGCACTGGCGACTGGTCGTTCCAGAGGAAAAGCGACGCTGTGGCTTCGAAACATACGAGACGAAGGTTTGGAATGAGCCGTGGACCGAGGAGGCCTGGATAGCTTGGACCTTATGTTGTCTCTTTCCAAGTCCGGGGTGTGACTCCCAAATGTCTGCTGCTCCATATCCTCCTCCTTGATGAAATTTTGACCTGTGAGGTCTGCAGACGCACGCCGTGCAGCTGCCGTGCGCCTCCGTCCAGCCTTGAGGTGAAGAAAACTGCATCGCGGGAGGCTTGACGCAAGGCGTTGCTGGTGCTGTTGCTGCTGCTGCTGCTGCTGCTTATGCTCTTGTTGGTCCATTAAATGCAACTGCTGCTGCAGCAGTGTCTGCAGATGCTGCTGTTGTTGTTGCTGCTGCTGCTGCTGCTGCTGCTGCTGCTGCTGCTGCTGCTGCTGCTGCTGCTGCTGCTGCTGCTGCTGCTGCTGCTGCTGCTGCTGCTGCTGCTGCTGCTGCTGCTGCTGCTGCTGCTGCTGCTGCTGCTGCTGCTGCTGCTGCTGCTGCTGCTGCTGCTGCTGCTGGTTTCTTACCTGTTGGTTTAGCTGCTGCACCTGTGAGTGATGGCTGTGAGGCAAATGATTGTGTTGATCAGCTTCCCCCATTCCTGTCACCGTTGCCACAGAACCATGACGAGAAACAAGACCAGCAAAATGCTCATCTATTCTCATTGTCATCTCCATAACACCCTCCTCCTCCTCCTCCTCCTCCTCCTCCTCCTCCTCCTCCTCCTCCTCCTCCTCCTCCTCCTCCGTCATCCCCTTTGTGCCAACTATATTGCTGCTCCCACTGTTTCCTTCCTCTGGAGAAATTTTCCCTTCTTCTGCTCCCTGTGTGCTCTTTGTAGCACAAATCCCACTCACTACAGCCTCATTTTCTTCTTCAACCTTCACCAGCTGCTGAACAAACCGTTCCAAAACCGCATCGGACCGCTCCCTGTCTATTCCCACGCCCTTGGATCCCAACTCTTCAATCGTGACTGTACCTGCTCCTGGCACGCCAAAGCCAAGAAGCTCATTTCCAGCAATTCCAGCACATGGTGAATTTCGCTGCGGGATAGAAAAGCGACCCATGGTATCGCCACAAGTGGATGGTGCGGCAGCTGAGGTTTGCAATGCACCAGGATACGACGGAAGCATGAGATGGAGGGGAAGAGTGGAAAGTGCAGCTTCAGGGGAAGAGATTGCATTGAGGGCAGACTGTGGGAAAGAGTAAGAGCGGTAATGGGAAGGGTAGGGAAAGGTGGATTGTAGGAATGAGGAAGGGGGAAAAGGGGATGCGGTGGCGGGAAGGGTGGAGTGTAGGAAAGTGGTAGATGTGGATAGAGAAGAGGGAGCAGGAAGGTTAGATTGCAAGAAAAACGCGGAGGCAGAAGGGGCAAAGGCGGAAGACTGAGAGGTGGATGGGGCAGAGGAGAAAGGGGCGGTTCCGCTGGAGCTGCTGCTGCTGCTGCCGGCAGTGGAGCTTCTTTCAAGGGTGTATGCTGGTATTGCAACACGAACCCCTCCTCCTCCTCCTCCTCCTCCTCCTCCTCCTCCTCCTCCTCCTCCTCCTCCTCCTCCTCCTCCTCCTCCTCCTCCTCCTCCTCCTCCCTCCTCCTCCTCCTCCTCCTCCTCCTCCTCCTCCTCCTCCTCCTCCTCCTCCTCCTCCTCCTCCTCCCTCTCCTCCATCACCGTCTCCTCTTCCTGCTGATTCAGCTACTGTCGCTGAACATGCAGCTCGAGATTTTCCACCTGATTCTGTTGCAGCCGCTGCCACTGCCTTACTCCTTCCAAACATTTTTTTCTTGACTGCATCCACTCCCTCCGATCGCCCATACGCAGCATCTTCAGCAGGTGCTACTTCTTTCCCTCCCCTTCCAGAGCTCCCACAACTGCCCTTTCCAGCCTGTTCTATGGGCGCCCTGTTCTTCGGCGCTCTCGGGCTATAATTCTCACCAGTAGTACCTTCCTCCGTTCTGGCCGCTTCCATCTGAACCGGTGCCTCTGGATCTGCAGGACTGGAACCCACTACTGCTCCGTTTTCCTGGAGAAACTCTTCTGGAAAGTTGAGCTTCGCCTTCGACCCTCGGATGCCGAAAGCAGCTTTGTCGAACGCCCGAGCCGCCTCTTCCGCGGAAGAAAACGTGCCCAACCACTTGCGGAACCCATGAGTCGTGTCCTTAATCTCTGCAACGTAGCCAGACGCTCCACGCTTCCTCACTCCCCGATACTTTCCATGCTGGTGGTAGTTTCTGTCGCGCGTCAATATGCGCTTGGCTCCAGACTCTGATGTGCCTGCACCAGCGGCAGTCTCACCTTGTGCTACTGTTTGCGGTAAGTGTGGCTGTACCAGTGCTGTATAAGTCTGTGGTTCAAACTTCTGTGGCATCTGCTGCCCTTGCATCTTCTCCTGTTGCATCTGTGGCCTTTCCATTTGCCGCCGCTGCCTCTGTTGCTGTTGCGTCTGCTGTGGTTGCATCTGCTGCTGTTCCATTAGCTGATGAGTCATCATTTGCTGCTGTGGCATTTGTTTCTGTTTCATCCGCTGCACTTTCATCCGCTGCTCTTTCATCTGGTGCTCCTTCATCTGCTCCTGTCTTTGCCGCTCTTTCATCTGGTGCTCCTTCATCTGCTCCTGTGCCGGCTGCTCTTCCATCTGCTGTTGTGGCACCTGCTTTGGCAACTGCTGCTGTGGTGGCATGATCTGCCCTTGTTGCAACTGCTCTCGCTGGATGATCTGCCGTTGGAGTCCTGATGCTTCCTCCTTTTCTACAACCTCCATATTTTCGTGTACATTATCATGTTCCATTTGTAGCTACTGGTAGCACGGTGCTAGTTGCGAAGGGAGAAGGGTGACTCACCCTCGGAGGGGGTGGGTTGGGGGGTTGGTGGGTTGCGTCCACCAGAGCTTCTGTTTATTATTTTTTTTATTATTATTATTATCATGTATTTGAGAGGGCTCGATCAGTAGCTCTGGGGAGTATCCGGATCCAGCAAAGTCATATCGCAGAAAATTTTCTAGGTTCTTAAGGAAAGTTTTATTCTCTTAAACGAGACCCAAATTTGACCTAGCCGTATCCTAAAAGACACTTGGTCGTCGGACTTGGACTTAAGAAGTAACATTTACGACAGGAGGTGAGATTCGGCACTGAAGATTTTTTATGGTGAGTTGTCTCTGACTCAAGCGTATTTCTAAACTTGCAGCCTTGGCAGGTTCTGAAGAATTATTCTCGTTGATATTTCGTGATAGTGATCGTGATAGTACTACTGGCATCAACCATACGGTTCCGTGAGTCACGAGAAGAGCTGTGTCTACTAGAACGCATACTAGTATAATTTAAACTACATTTGTATGGCAGAAATCCCTCCTGACTTGTGACTGGGCTTGTAAGATCGGATGGGTCGCTCCACAGGAGCCCCACAGTAACATACTGTGAAGAGAGCTCCGCGTGGGAAGAGAGCAGAACAGAATGTGCTGAGCCGAACCTGTCGGTGTCCGTGTCTCAGCTCGTGCGCTGACCGCCCAGGGTTTCAGAGCTTCGGAAATCGGAGGATTTTAATTAAACGATGACACCGAATCCCATGTTTATACTAACAATGAGTGCCACCCGTTTGACAATGCAAGCAACCCTTCACTACTTACGCAAAACCAATACCGAGCAGCCGAACAACAAACAATCAGCATTGCGAAATTTTGTGCAGGGTTGTTGCGTTATCACAAGGCGTGTGCTGTGAAATGCAGTCATCCATTCGCTCCTCACGCTTGGTGACAACAACGAAAGGATGCAGGAGCTCACACGGTTCCTCCTTATCAGAACATTCTGGCTGGAGTACAATCGTTAAATTGATTGGTGGAAAGTTCCACGTGTTGCGCACGGTTGTTGCGCGATGTATGTGGACAGTACACAAGCTCCACCTCTCGCACCACAGTCGGACCTTGTTTCGGCCTTGTTCAGCACTTATGATGATGTGTCACAAGGTCTGTCACCATCCAAAGTAGTAACCGTTCAAGCAAACAATTGTCGGACTCGAACAGCCAAACTATCCACGAGTGTGTGGCGCACAAAAGCATTTGCATTGCACACTTTCTGGGATAGTCTCTGGGGTTTTTTTCCTGAAAAGGGAATGCGCTAATGCCTGCCGCTAATTCACAGGCGATATCAGATCTGTACACTCTTCATGGATAGGTAGGTTTTAGGGAAACCCCCTTGGTATGACCCCGGCTGTCGGCTCGTAACCCGCATACCTGTTTGTTTACATGCCTCGCGGGGTATCGAGGTCTTATATCCACTCCCAGACTAGCACCTGTGTAGTCCCTTTTTGTGGGGATTGGCAGTATACGCAGCAGGGAGGATTTGATCCCAGGACATCATCTTTTGGAAGTGAACCAGCTACTAGCTGGGCCACTTCAGGAAAGTACACTCCATGGAACTGGGTTGGGGGTGGATCCGGTTTTGTTTTTCAAAATTCTCATACTTCCTATTCACTCTTATAGAAACTAGATATGGGCTGGTGCTGGTCTGAATATTAGAAATATGACGACCTGCAACCCAAGTTTCACTGGTTTGCTTTTTTAGGGCCGACACAGCATTGGAAGTCCTGGGCTTTTATAGAGAAGGGTTTTGGAAATCGAGACGAGTTTCCTTACTGGACACGCCCGTACATGGTAGTGTCGAAACCAGAATTCCGGACAGACAACTCACAAGTCACACATTAAATCAGGAGCTTCCAAGTGTACACTGGCTGGAAGTTGGGTACATACATGCATACATACACCTATTTCGACGGCCAGGACAATACCGGGCGGCATAAAAGGTACAATTGGGTTACTGTACAGCGGTACTGTTTCTCTCCTTGTTTGCACTGTGGGAACGCTCGTCGCATCTGGACAGACACCCTCCCACCACCACCTCACCCCTCCCCCCTCCTCCATTCGCCCAACCCCCTCCACACGCACACACGATGAAAGCGGATTGCATACTGTACAGCGCTTTTCTCAAAGGGTTCCCACAACCTACACTTGCAGGTCATTTTAGGCCTAGCATTAGAGTTGGAACGTCTGGTTTGGCTCGCCACGGACATAAAAAGACTGTAAGTTCGACGTCCTTTGCAACAGCTTCGGGTGGCAAGGTTGTGTTGTCCAGCGACAGTTAAGGTTACCAGCCAAGCATGGGCGGGTATAACCACTCGTTTTGTCATAAGCTGACCGAGCCGCGAATGATTCAGTTGTTTAGGCTGTTGCCTCCGCCTAAAATATATAAACTTTACACGTTTACCAAGGTTGTGCATCAGCTGTATTTTCAAGCAGGCGCATCATTGTGTCGTTGCACAAGGACAGGACAATAGAAGCAAACTGTCTCACAGCTGGGTTACTGTTTCCTACTGTTAAGGGCGTGGGCCCAAACGGGTTTGATCGCGAATGATATCTGATCGGGGCGGATCTGATCGGGTTGCTTGTGATCGTAGTGCCCGAGCCGCCCGATCAGAGATTATTTTCGAAGAAGTTTGTCAACGCCTGCTCAGCAAGCGCGATACATTTGCGTGGCATTTTCGTCACCATTTTAGCGAGATTGACGACCAGGCTTCACCTGGCGAAAATCTTCGTTTTGCTGTATGTGCAACATTGTAACACCTCGTAAGCATCGCTGGGTGCCCCGATCACAAGCAATCAATTGATTGCCTGTGATCGAGGAAAATCGACTCTGATCGGGGTTAAAATCGTGTCTGATCGAGGTTGGGCGATCAGCTAATCGCGATCAGCTGATTGCCCCTGATTGCCTGAATTTGGCTTCCAGGCTTCCTGGAAAGTACTGATCGCGGCTGATCGAGGCGATCAAAACCGTTTAGGCCCACGCCCTAATCTTTCAAAAACCGTCTCTATTTCCTGCCCCTGCCTGAAACCACTGCTCCAACAGCGCACCACTGTACAATCGGGACCTTTCCCCAGATTCATTGCCGGCGAAGGCTACTGTATTCTGTCGCCAGATTTGCTTTCTTTTTGCACCCAATGTACAGCTTTATGTGCTTAGTACATTCACGGCGGCCTCGCTTCCCAAACCAAGCCCTCCGGGCAACCTCACCAATATTTTCCAATTTCTTCCCAAGAAATGCATACCAAGTATTTGTCGTTTCAAGGCCTATAAGGACGCGTCACAAGTAGAACATCGATCCTGCCTAGAATCGGTGTTTAGGTGGTTACACATTTTCGTTTATTTTCGCTAACGTACAGTTTTCCCTTCTAAGTCAGGCGATCGATGTGCCCCTGTCACACATCGATCGTGCAATTTCGTCCACATCGGGCAATTTTGCCCCATGTTTTTACGACCGTGTCACTTGAAACTTCAAAGCAGTCGTGACACACCGATATGGCGATCGGTTTGACAGGTTCGGTGAACAACCCTGATCCTTCCTCGATATTTTACTTGTGACGCGTCCTAAGGAGCTGTTTGTCATCTGTTTGTAAAGAAAACATCAATTTTTGTCACACCGCTTCAGGTCCCCAAATCAGGTTTTGTTGCCCGTGGTTTCCATTTTCATTGAATAAGATTTCTCTAACTCAGTACTGCTCGCAGGAGGGCCAACTCTGATTTTTCAGTGTTGCGTTCCCAACCCATCCAACCCCAAAACAGAGCAATGAAACCCCCCCCCCAAAAAAAACCTGATACGCAGGACATTTAAACAAGGTGCATCCACAAAGGGGACAGTCATACCTTGCATTTGCATTCATGGTAGCCTTACAAACCACCTCCACTGTAATGGTGAAGACCTTCAGTTGTGGTGGGGAGTATGGTATGGCTTCTCACCTTGGCCATGCCCATGCTCATGCTGATTCCCATCCCAATACCCATTCCCGTGCCCATGCCCATGCCCATGCCCCTGTTTTTTAGGTGCCCCTGATCCTTCAGCTCATGCGCTCTGCACGAGGCTCTCACGGGTGGCCCCGTCCTGCTGCTGGCTGTCCAACGGCATGTACTGTGCCATGATGGTGCGAATCTCCGAGTCCATGTAGGCCTGCAGGGGAGTGGGAGTGAAGGAAGCGGGGCAGGGTATGAGCGGAGGGAAGCAAGGCTTGTCTGCTCGTCCTGCTGCTGGCTGTCCAGAGGCATGTACTGCGCCATGATGGTGCGAAACTCCGAGTCCATGTAGGCCTGGGAACACACACATGCATGCACAGAGAAAGAGGCAGGGTAATGAGACCACAGATGCAAGGCATGTCTGCTGCTGGCTGTGCAGAGGCATGTACTGCGCCATGATGGGTGCATGGATTGAGAAAGGCAAGGGATGAATGAACATGAATCGTGTCGTGTCTGCTCCATCAGTGACCTGCGCAGCGGCATGTACTGCGCCATGATGGTGCGGATCTCCGAACCCATGTAGGCCTGCTTAAAC